TAACAGAGGAAACCTTGAGATTTTCAAGGTCACTCCTAAATGTAGTGGCATAAATGAGAAGAAAAAAACAAAAAAGAAATCATGAAAGGTTTATTTTGGAATATAAGAGGTATGGGTGATCATGATAAAATAAAGCATCTCAATGATTTAATAAAAGAGCATAAAGTTGATTTCATTGGCATCCAAGAAACTGTGAAGCAGGATTTCACTGCTAAAGACTTGGATTTAATAGGAGGAGGGGGTAAGTTTAGTTGGAATTGGACCATTCCCAAGGGTAGATCTGGGGGTATGTTGGTGGGAATAAATGAAGACAAAATGGAAATTATGGAAGTTTCCAAGAAGAATTTTTTGTTGCATGTTAAAGTAAAAAATAGAAATGACAAATTTGTGTGGAGATTAATAACTGTGTATGGGGCTGCCCAGCCTGAACACAAGGAGGAGTTCTTGAGGGAGTTAGCTCAGGATTGTTATGGGTGTGATGAACCCCTGTTAATTGGTGTGGATTTTAACATCCTGAGACAAGAGAATGAAAAAAACAAGAGGGGAGGGGTGAATAAATGGAGTCTTATGTTCAATTCTATAATTGAGAATGCAAACTTGAGAGAGATGGCCTTGGAAGGGAAAAAATTCACTTGGGCTAATAACAAACAAAGTGTAACTCTTGAAAAATTGGACAGAATTCTTTTTAATGATAAATGGGAGATTAAGTTCCCTTTGGCATGTGGAAGGGTCTTAGAGAGAATTTACTCTGACCACACTCCTCTTTTGATCAATGTTGAGGGAGAAAAGTGGCTATCTCCTCTGTTTAAATTTGAGAATAGTTGGCTCATGAGAGAAGATATTAATACTGTGGTTGAGCAAGTTTGGAATTCTTGTAATATAAATGGATCCAGTATTGATAAATGGCAATGGAGGTTACAAAAAATGAGAAAGAAACTAAAAGGTTGGAACATGAACTGGGAAGGAATGTACAAAAGGAAAAAACATGAAATTATGGAAAAAATAGAAGACATTGATAAAAAATGTGAAGCATATGGAATGACTATTCTGGAAAGAAAAGAGAGAGGGGATTTGGAGGAAGAGTTGAAGAAAGTAGTAAGAGAGGATAGATTGAAATGGATGCAGAGATGTAAAGAAAAAAACCTTTTGGAAGGGGATGATAACACAAAATATTACCATGCTAAAGCCAATGGAAGGAAAAGAAAAAACATGATTCATTCTCTGGATCAGGAAGAGGGGGAGATTAAAGGACAGAGTGATCTAATGAAATATATAACAAATTTTTATAAACAGCTTTTTGGTCCCCCCCCCCTCCAGAGAATGATTTTACTTTGAATCTGGAAGGCATAGCTATGTTGAGTGAAGCTGAAAAAGAGAGATTGATTAGACCAATAGAAATGGAGGAACTGAAAAAAGTAGTTTTTGGGATGGAAAACAATAAGGCCCCTGGGCCTGATGGATTTCCTGTGGAATTTTATAAACATTTTTGGTATCTGATTAAGGATAACTTGATGGAACTAATCACAGATTTCATGAAAAGAAAAATTAGAGTTGAGAGATTAAATTATGGTGTTATAACTTTGATCCCTAAATGCAAAGAAGCAAGAATGATACAGAAATTCAGACCAATATGTCTTTTAAATGTGAGTTTCAAAATCATAACAAAAATTTTGATGGAAAGGCTGGCTGAGGTGATTGAAGTCTTGATTGCTTTGAATCAAACAGCTTTCATAAAAAATAGATATATAATGGAAGGGGTTGTAACTATGCATGAATTTTTGAACTCAATTCATCAAAAAAAGCAGGCAGGAATTCTGTTCAAAATTGATTTCGAAAAGGCATATGATAACATTAAGTGGTCTTTTGTGTATTAAATGGTGAAGGCCAAAGGATTCCCTGACATATGGTGTGATTGGATCTTGAAAGTGGTTAAAGGGGGGAAAGTGGCCATCAGAGTGAATGATCAGATAGGGCACTATTTTACAACACACAAAGGGTTGAGACAGGGGGATCCACTCTCACCCTTGCTTTTTAACATTGCTGCTGATGCTTTAACCATTCTTATCAAAAGAGCAGAGCAACAGGGACTAATCAAGGGTTTGGGAATGGATGTCATGAGAGAGGGGGTGGCTATTTTACAATATGCCCATGATACCATATGCCTGATCTAGGATTCTCTGGAATATGCAAAAAACCTCAAATTCTTTCTGTGTATTTTTGAGCAATTGACTGGCCTAAAAGTGAACTTTCATAAAAGTGAAGTTTTTTGCCTGGGAGAGGCAGCTGAGAGACAGGACTCATACAGCCAAATGTTCACTTGCCAAATTGAGAGACTGCCAATGAAATATTTGGGTGTTCCCATAAATCAAGTAAGAATCCATAACAAAGATTGGAAACCTGTAGAGGAAACAATTGAAAAGAAGTTGGGGTGTTGGCAGGGGAAACTCCTAGCAATAGGAGGGAGGGTTGCTTTGATTAACTCTAGCATTAGCAGTGTCCCACTTTATATGATGTCTTTATACTCTCTTCCTTGTGGAGTTAGAGAAAAAATTGATTTTTATAGAAGGAGATTTCTGTGGCAAGAAGATCAAGGTAATATGAAATATCATCTAGTGAAATGGCCAGTGATCTGCCTCCCTAAAGATCAGGGAGGGCTGGGGATTTTAGATTTAGATGTAATGAATAAAGCTCTGTTGGGGAAATGGCTGTGGAATTTGGAGAATACAGAAGGTTTGTGACAAGACATGCTAAGAAACAAGTATTTGAAAAAGAAAACTCTGACTCAAATAAAACATAAGAATGGGGATTCTCACTTTTGGTCTAGTTTAATGGAGATCAAAGAGCTGTTCTTGAGATTTTGTGACAAGAAGGTGGAAAATGGGGAGAGTACCCTCTTTTGGGAAGATAGTTGGTGGGGGGGGGTAAACCAATTAAAGAGTCTGCTCCAGATCTTTATAACATAACCTTGACAAAAAATGTGACTGTGGCAGAGATCAAAAGGAGAGGGTTAGGCTCAATCAAATTCAGGAGAGACCTAAATGCAGTTAAACAGAGAAAATGGGCTAATATTGGTAGAGCCCTGGACAATGTTAGTCTAACTAATGAAAAAGACAGACTGATTTGGAGACTGTCTAGCAAAGGTTTCTCTGTTAAATCTTTCTACAGAGCTTTGGTATTACAGGGGATCAATTATCCCTACAAAAAAATGTGGAAAATCAAAACACCACCCAGGGTGAAAGTTTTTTCCTGGCTGGTTCTAAGAAATAGTATTCTTACAAAAGATAATCTGTTCAAAAGGGGTTGGAGGAAGGGCTCGATTAAATGCCAATTCTGTGATAAGAGTGAATCCATCCAACATCTGTTTTTAGATTGTCCGATGGCTCATTTCGTTTGGAGTGTTGTTGAATGCGCTCTCAATGTGAAGCCTGGCAGGAATGTGGGGGAAATGTGTAGCTCCTGGATTTTGAAATTTGGCAAAGGGAATGGGAAGTTGATTATGGTGGGGGTTACAACAGTCTTGTGGACCATTTGGAAAGCAAGAAACAGAGCCTGCTTTGATGGAATTATGCCTGTTGATCCTATAGAAATAGTTTATAACATTTGCTCAAATTTAAACTCTTGGAGTATTTTGCAGAGCAAGGAGGGAGACAGAGGAAGAATGCAGTGGGGGGCGCAGCTACTAAGGCAGGTAGCAAATGAGATCTTTCACTCAAAATTTGAATGGAGGGGCGGCAGACAAAGAATAGGATGGGAAACAGAGGCAGTCTAAACTAATGGCAAAGAGTTTTGAAGACGACGATAGAAACCTATGTTTTGATGCTTGAAATGCCAATGTTCTAGTCCTGTAATAACTGTTTGTTTTCCTTTTTCTCTCGTCTTTTCTGTAAGAACTTGATGTCTGGAACTCTTGTAATCATCTGCGTTTTCTTTAATGAAAACGGGGGAGTTTCCCTCCCTTTCTCAAAAAAAAAAAAATCATCTACGCGAAGACGTTGAAGCCTCCGTCGTCGTGGCGCGCGTAGGAAGTCGCCGGTGTGATCGCAGCCACTACGCACCCGCACGCTGGGCCAGGAGTCGCTGCGTGCGAATCTCCCCCCAAAAAAAGGAAGGGCGCCGAGCGTGCGTACCGGACGTGCCGTATCTTCGGCGCGCTCCACAGGCTCGCGTGCCGCGGGATCACTCGATTCGATCGTCGCCTGGGTCGCCGTCTCGCTTGGATTCTTCGCGTCGCGCGAGAGGCCGGGAGAGTTCGGGCGCCGCGCACCACGCGCGCGGAGGCGGGACGGGACGTACGCCACTGGCCACGTAACGTAACGTGCCCGTCCGCTTCCGCGCCTCCTCGCCCGCCTGTGTAGCAAACTAGAGAGAGGCGGCGCACGGATCAGATATATGGTGCACAACTGCACAAGTCTGCACATGGGTGGAGCCCGTGATTCCGGTCTCGGACGATCTGGTGGATCCGGAGCCCACAGATATGGAAGAAACGATATGGGTGAGAACCAGTGGATTATTATTTGGATTTCTAGAACCATCCTATGCTGAGATTTCTTCGTCGCCCGGTGGCCCCGGCGGGCGGCACACCAGACACCAAACTCCAACACCGAGGGCGGAGGCGGGCGAAATCCGTTTGCGCGCAACCGACGCGATCCATCCATCCACCCAACCAGCCACGCCTTGCAAACGGCCAAAAAAATCCAGCAGACCCACCGTTTTCCGCCGTCTCAAAGAAATCGCCACGGTTCTCCTCACGCAAAACCACATCCGCACTTCGCGAAACGACCGCCTTGCCACCGCCTCGTGCCGATGCGACCCACGCGCGGCCGCGCCGGGACGAGGGCACGGCCGTCACTTCCTACGCGTGGGGATCACCACAACCAAAGCCCCAGTGACGTACGAGTACTCCTGATGTGGGTGGGGCCAGTGAGTCAGTGGGCGGGGCACAATGGGACCCACGGTTTGGGAATCCCGGGTCGCCTTTAAAGCGAGTCCCCTCTCCGTCCCAAGCCAGTTTGCCGCTCTCCGGCTCCTCCACCTTTCTGCAGTTCTGATTCCATTCTTGCAAGTTCTAGGTATACACAATCTTCTCTTTGTTCCTGTTTTTTTTTCTTGCACAAGTCTAGTTGAGTTGTTGATAACTTGGTATGGAGAAGGGAATCAAAGGCTGGTTGTAATTTTAGGTCAGGGTTAGATTTGTTTGATCTGATGTAAGTCCTAATCAAAATCTTTAATTCTGTTAACACCTTTTATGACAAAGAGATCTTGTAATTAATTGCTCATTAAAGCCATCTTTAATGGTGTGCAGAACTACAGAAAGCAGGGAGTAATGGCGTCCAACTACGTGGACACTGCTGGGGAGGAAGGCAGGTTCCACGGCCACGGCCACCACAGCAGCGGCACGACGCCGACCGGCGCGGCGGCGTCGCCGAAGATGCGGAGGAGCTGGTCGTCCGCCGCCTCGGCGTCGTCCGGCGGCGGCGGACACGGGTCCGGCCCCAAGTGCGTCTGCGCGCCGGCGACGCACGCCGGCTCCTTCAAGTGCCGGCTCCACCGCAGCAGCTCGCACGGCCACCCGTCGTCCTCTCCCACCGCCGCCGCCGCGCCGGCGGCGGCCGTGCAGTCCTCGTCCTCCCGCACCGTCGCGGCGCAGTGACGCAAGAACGGTCTCTCGGACCAAGAAACGCCCAACAAGAAGAGAGGAGAAGGAAAAAAGAAGGAAAGAACATAATCTAAACCAAAGAATATTTGTGTCATTCATAAGAAAAGGGATATTATTTGGTTCCTCCCTTGATGTGGTGCCATTTGGAAAAAAAAAGTCCCTTTTTTCCCGTTCTTTTTCCCATCTTTTTGTTTGGGATCTCCATTGAAGAAGTTGTCTGCTTTTCCTCTGTCCTCTCGACTATTGGAAATTGGAAGCATTTTAGTCATATTGTTAAGAGTATGTGTGGTGCTCTACTATGTAATTAACATTTCAGTAAGATCCATGCTTGTTGAAGGTGTTGATTTTGTTCAGACGAATGGATATCCTGGAAGAGCATTTCTAGTCACAAACAGATTTGCTGATAGGCTGATACAAATGAACCACTAAAGGATAACGTAGTAGCAAAAAAACGGAGTAGATTTGTTGGAGTAGAAGGTAGCAAGCACAAATATCTGGCACAATCAAGAGAGGGTCTGTTGGTGGTTAAGCTGACTTCTCTGTCAATTCCTGCCATCGTGTTTTGTGTCAGTTTTTTAGGTTATCATGTGATGCTTCTGCAGCATGCTGACAAATGCTGCAGCCACGTTATCATGTTGGTAATGTAAACCACTAGTAGTATTCGCTGAACAACAACAGAACAGTTTAGTAGTAACAATGTAGTACTCCCTCCGTCCACGACGTTTTTCACCTTTTATTTGTAACGTTTGACCATTCATTTTATTTAAAAAATTAGTGTAAATATAAAAAAAATTTTATTTAAAAAATTAGTGTAAATATAAAAAAAGATAAGTTATATGTAAAGTACTTTTGATAATAAAGCAATTGACAAATAAAATAAATAATAATTCTAAATTTTTTTAAATAATACGAATGATTAAATATTAACAAACAAAAACTCAAAAAGACAAGTAATATGGGACGGAGGTAGTAGTAATACTAGATCAGTTCTTGCGCAAAGTTAAGCAGGAGATTGTTGCCATGCCATGATCCGCAGTTACCCTCAATTTTCCTGTAGCCTTGGAGTATTTTTTTTTCTTCCTGTAGACTGTAATGCCTTATATCTTATCTAGACCTTGCTTTAGGAGCACAAATGCCCTTCAGTGTCATCGACTCATCATAGTATGGCACTATACATTAGATGGATGTGATTTATTGGTTGGGTGCTCATCCTGTGTTATCTTGGTGTCTGATCAACTCAGCCAACCACTAGTTAGAGCAAGGAAAATAGTAGAGCTCACTTTCTACTATTAGCACATCTTAAAGCCAATATATATATAATAGATTAGCTATAAGGTTGGCTATAATTTTCTCCTCCTCTCTCTATCTCTCACCTATACATTTAATGTATTTATCTAGGAGCTTGTGTTAAGCTAGAGCTAACATCCTTGATTTTTTGTTATCTCTCTCCTCTATATAAGTTTATAATAGATTTATAGCTCTATGTTATACTTGCTCTTATTTGTGCTGGTCTGGATTTTGTCTTGGTGGTGGTGGTGGTCCAGGGTAAGATGTTAGGCATAGTACTAATCTAGTTCATATTTTCACGAGATAAGCTGCAGCAAGTTCGATATTTTACTTTACTGAAACGTGGTTAACTCATTATCGGGAAGTACTTTTGCAAAACGAGATAAGCTTCAGTAGAAGTGTAGAACCAGTGAAATGAGAGGCTTGAGAGCAGACCAGTTCACTGTCAACGTGCTTTCTGCATTTAGGCCCATCAGCAAACCATGCTCTTTAGGCCCATTTGTAATCAGCAAGGCGCTTTTGATTTGAAGGAAATGCAATACTCCAATTCTATAGAATATTTTCCTTTATGATCGGATTGAAAATTATTGAACCCTACAAAATTCCTGAGGTTTGGAGGATTTTTAAGATGAGGTCAAATCTTATGGAAAGTTTCCTAATGTATATTTCTCTCATTCAATTTTTATGTTTTATAATTTTTTTTTTGTTTTGCACATATATTCCTGTTAAAATTTTATATTTTTTCTCTTCTTCCGTTTTCTAACTATGCGTTTGAAAGAAACCCTAAGGCCCCCTTTGATTCAAAGGAAATTCATAAGAATTTTAAAAGATTTCATTCCTATAGGAATTTTTCCTATATAGCCCTTTAAATCAAAGGAATGAATCCTATGTAATCCCATGAAATTCCTATGGAATGCCTCTTGCCATGCAAGTTTTGGAGGAAATTTAGCATGAGGTTCTACCTCATGTTAAGAATTCTTTGAGTCTTTATCTCTCCTCAAATTCCTGTGTTTTTCTTGCGGCTCAATCAAACGGTTATTCCTATTATTTTCCTGTGTTTTACAATCCTCTGTTTTACACTTGTATTCATGTCAAAATCCTATGTTTTTCCTATTCCTCCGTTTTTTTATTCCTGTGATTCAAAGGGCCCTAATCAGGAGTTTCTTTTCTTCCGATTCACGTTGCATGAGCTGAGCGAACCCAGAGGCAAAGCCTTGATAAGATGGTGCCACGTGATCGTTAGGAAATATATTCGTTATCTTATTTTGTACTGGTACCATGAGCTGTTCTTGTAATCTTGTTGGTGAATCAAGTCCAGAGAACAATGATCTGGGTGCGATTATTTGGAAGAAAATTCAAATTAAGCACGAGCTTCTGACAAAATAATTACACACAGCTAACTATGATCATGCATCTCCCTGAATATCTGGAACGGAGTTTATCTCTGTCTAACTGCAGTACAGTACTTCTCTTTTGAGCATGATGGCCTTTGCTTACAGTCACATTACTGTCTGCAAGGTCAGTGAACACAGTGGACAGGGCACGCCTGCGACACCATCACATGACTGCATAATCGCCTGAGCTGCCCCGCATGTGTCCGTCACAGATCTACCACGCTGGTGATTTCTCTGCACTGATCCATTGCTCAATGAGCCGTGAAAAGAGAACAAGTTCAGAAAGAGAAAAGGCGCAAATGCTCATGCCAGAAGCGGTGTCATGTGAAAGATTTGTTGATCTTCTGAACAAACTCTTTAGCTCGTACTTCCATGAATGTCCAGTGACTTGCCATCTGCATCACCGACTCGCCGTATCAAGATCTCTATCAAGTAGGGTGCATGCCTGAAATGAATCATTGTGGGGAAGGAAAGACTGCACCTTGCATTGCCGGAGCAGTAATAAATCTGTCGATTTGATCCTCGCGTGCTGCAGAAATGACACCGGGCGTCGTGGCTGCACAGCAGAACAGCACAGGGGAACGCGATCTTTTCCTGAAATCGGATCCAATGCCATGGTTGATTGGTTGTTCTACTGCTAATCATGCTTTTTCCCTGGCAAAAAGGAAGGAACTTTTTCGTGCATCATGGAGATTCGAGGGAGGCATGCTGCATCTGCAGTTCCAATTGGAGGGAGCATCATTTGCGTACTGTGTTTGCGTCTGGTGTATGCGCCTTCTTTTGCTTCTCTGTCCTGGTGGCACCTGTGATCTTCTTGGAATCTTGGTGGTGGAGAAGAATCATATCATTCTGTAACCACTCCTTTCAGAGGAAAGTTTCAGTTCTTTGGTGGTGACAGTCAGGCGAATCGGGTCTTAGTTAACAGAAAAGAAGGGTCCCTGCTATCTCTGAAGATCGTGCGTCCATCTGTTTCAGATACCGAGTGATGCTGCAGGATACTTCTTCGATTAGTGCATGCTTGCACAGAGCACAGTGCCATGAGGCCATTCACAATGCGTCATGGGTTTTTCCTGGACCTGAGATGCCACGTTGGATGGAACTGCTGCTAAGCAACTCCATCCAGAATGCAAAGCTTGTACTCCACAGTATAAGCTACTAATGGGTCCCACCACCAAACACTTTTGCTCTCTCTCTTTGGTTCAGATTTTGCAGCAAGGAACTCGGTACCAACTTTGGTCACACGGACCAGGCAAAGCCACGATCCCCACTCTTCTCCCTCCTCCACGTAAGCCAGGAACAACATTGCCACACGCCACATCGCCGCATTGTAAATGGCTTGACCGAGGCTCCCTTGGCAGGCCGATCTAGTAATCCATGGCATGGAATCTTTTGAACCACAGTTTTTTGAGATACATTGTGTGGTTTTAACCTCACGATCTCATGCTCAATCCCTAACATGCTCATAATTTCTTTAAAAAAAAATATTTGAAGAGATGTCTCTCCCTCCAAATCTCCTTTTTTTTATCCTTAAACCCTAAACCCAATAAATTATTGTATACACATTTCAGGGCATAAAAACCAGGGTTTTAAATCTCCTGTTATAGCTGTTTGAAAAGAGTTCTAGCTATTTGATCTCATATACAATTTGATCGCTATAGCTCCATTTAGCCCACTATAACTGTTTGAGAAATTAATCGCTAAATGTCTTAGCCCGCTATTTAAAACATTGATAAAAACACAGATTTTCAGAAAGCACAGTACATATATAGCACATGTTCTTAAAGTGTTTTCTAATATTCAGACAAGTTCAACGCATCGCGAAGAAGTTAGGTGCCATCGTCCAGTACATGGTCCTTACCAGGATCAGCTATGAGGAGTGGGTGCTGCTCATGACAGTGAAGGTGATCTCTGTCTGATTTCTAGAATTCTTATTAGGCACAGCACAAGGGCTCTAATAGGCCATGGAGCCAAGGAGGTAGATTACCAGGAGGATAAGCTCACGCTACACATCGTAAGGACCATGCCACCTGAGATGCTCAGGGCACTGTCCACCAAACAGACGGCGTAGTCAGCATGGGAGGTGATCAAGACCATAAGTGTTGGCGTCTAACACATACGCGAGGCGAAAGAGCAGCTGCTAATGCAAGGGATTCGGCGAGATCGAGTTCAAGAATGGTGAGGCAGGTCAGTGATTTCTCCATCCGCATCACCGGTCTAGCCAACAACATCCGCGTCTTCGGTAGCAACCTCCCTAAAGCTGATGTACTGAAGAAATCTCTGCAGTGGCCCTGATCGAACATCTATCTCGCTGGATGAGTCATTGACATCGGGGAGTATATCTCAGTTGCGATCACGACCTAGGAAAAATGTTCGAGGAGAACTTGTAGGGGTTCTTCACCACATCAGCTTTGGGGGATCGTCGTCCAACATGCAGATGCTATCGGCGAGGACAGTTCATGCGTATGGAGAAATCGTCGATCGCCTCGCCGTCTCTCATTATATGTTGCCCTTTCCCCTCGCATATATGTTGAGAGGCTAAGATCAACATGTACGGTCATGATAGCCTCACATGCCATTTGTATCTCCCATTTGGTGTACATACCTGAGCATCTCAGGTGGCACGACCCATGGGATGGCGGCCAGCGCAGGACTATCCTGCTAGTAGTTCACCT